TCCTCCGAGTTTCCGCCGACAGAGGCTCCGCTGCAGACTCTTCACATGGACGTGTGGGGCCCCGCCCCAGTCTGTGGACAGGGTCACGAGCGCTACTTCCTGCTGGTGGTTGACGACTACTCGCGTTACACCACAGTCTTCCCCTTGCGCCGCAAGGATGAGGTCACTGAGGTGTTGATCGACTGGATCCGCGCTGCTCGTCTCCAGCTCAGGAAGAGTTTCGGCTCGGACTTTCCTGTTCTGCGTCTGCACTCCGACAGAGGTGGAGAGTTTTCCTCCGGCCCTCTGCGAGCCTTCTGTCGTGCGAGGGGCATCCGCCAGACGTTCACGCTTCCGGCCTCTCCACAGCAAAATGGGATTGCTGAGCGCCGCATTGGCATGGTCATGGATGTCGCTCGTACGTCCATGATCCATGCGGCTGCTCCCCATTTTCTGTGGCCGTTTGTGGTTCAGTACGCAGCGCATCAGATCAACCTCCAGCCCCGGGTCTCCATGCCGGGGACCTCCCCCACTCTGTTGTGGACGGGGAAGGTTGGCGATGCGTCTGCGTTCCGTGTCTGGGGATCTCGGGCTTTTGTCCGAGACTTGTCTGCGGACAAGCTGTCCTCTCGTGCTGTTCCCTGCGTCTTCCTTGGCTTCCCCCCTGACGCGCCTGGTTGGCAGTTTTACCACCCCACCTCGCGACGTGTTCTGTCCTCCCAGGACGTCACGTTTGACGAGTCGGTTCCGTACTACCGTCTCTTCCCCTACCGCGCTGCCCCCCTCCCCCCCCCGCCGCTTTTCCTTGCGCCAGGTCACCCCCCGGTAGACCCCCTCCCCCCTCAGGGTCCTGCCCCCTCAGGTGTGTCTCAGGTAAACCCCCCCCCCTTGGCTGAGCCTTTGGAGGTCACTTCCGACACCTCTGGCCCACCTGAGGGGGGTGACGTTGCTGCTGACCCCCTCGCGGCCTACCGCCGCGCACCACGCTTGGAGACTCCTTCGGGGTTCCCTCCGCGGCCTTCTTCACCGCCTCTGCAGCCGGTTCCTGTTGACTCTGGTGCTGTTGGGGGTGGTGCTCCTGGAGGTGCGGAGTCTGGGGGTGCTGAGCCTGCGCGTGAGGAGACTGGAGGTCCTGCGCCTGGGGGTGCTGTGTCTGGGGGTGCTGAGCCTGTGTGTACGGAGTCTGGGGGTGCTGAGTCTGGAGGTGAGACGCTTGAGGGTACTGGGACTGCTGGTGCGCGGCCTACTTAGAATGGTCGCCTTCGTCCGCGTGTGCCTCTCACCCCGCGGTAGCTGCACGACTGGTACGGTCGCCGTCAGGGTCGCGCTGCTGGAGCCCGGGGCTCGTCTACTGGAGGTGCTGGAGTCGCTGGTCCCGGAGGTGCTCGTACTGGAGGTACTGGAGCTGCTGGGGCTGGGGGTGCTGCGTCTGGGGGTGCGGCTCCTGGAAAAACTGAAGCCGGAGACCCTGGGACTGGAGGTGCTGGTTCTGGGGGTGCTGCTGCGGGAGACCCTGCGGTTGGAGACCCTGGGACTGGAGGTGCCGGTTCTGGGGGTGCTGCTACTGGTGGCGCTGAGTCTGGAGGTGCTGGCGCTGGAGGTACCGGTTCTGCGGCTGGAGCTTCTGGAGCTGCTGGAGGTGCTGGAGCTGCTGGAGGTGCTGGAGCTGCTGGAGGCGCTGGAGCTGCTGGAGGTGCTGGAGCTGCTGGTGCTGGTGCAGCTGCGCCGACACGACTGTTCTTCGCTCCGCCGTTTCCCAACCCAGTCAAATCCATCGACATGTTTCGTACCTCAGCCTATTGCATGAATAGATGTAGGTTTTCCCTTAGCGAAAGTGCAAGAAAGCTGGTAGCCCTGATTTCAAGTGCTAGGTTAGCTCTCAGCCCGTAAATTTCAGGGCAACTTTTGGGGCACCTCAGCCTCTCAAGTTCTATCTCCAAACCAATCGACAGCCCTGCTCGGGACAGAGCATGGCGCACCATTACTCTGACTCAGTCACACATGGTGCAGCAGGTCCTTCAGCGCTTCGACTTCACGTACTCCTCGCCTCAGGCCACTCCTCTGTCTACTCGCCACTCGCTCTCAGCTCTGCCTTCGGATGAGTCCGTAGAGCCGAGTGGCCCGTACCCAGAGCTTGTTGGCTGCCTCATGTACCTGATGACCTGCTCTCGACCTGACCTGGCCTACCCTCTTAGCATTTTGGCACGCTATGTTGCTCCTGGGAGACACCGACCAGAGCACATGGCTGCAGCGAAGAGGGTGTTGTGCTACTTGTGCAGTACATCGGGCATGGGGCTCGTGCTTGGAGGGCAGAGTCCAGTGGTCCTCACTGGTCACGCAGACGCGTCTTGGGTCGACGACCTGGCTACGCAGCGGTCGTCACAGGGTTACACCTTCAGCCTTGGTTCCGGCTCTGTTTCGTGGCGGTCTACCCGCTCGTCCTCTGTTCTCAGCTCCAGCTGTGAGGCTGAGATCTACGCAGGGGCCATGGCTGCACAGGAGTTACGCTGGCTGACCTACCTGCTGACTGACCTGGGAGAGCCGCCTCGTTCTCCTCCAGTTTTGTACGTAGACAACAAGGCCATGCTGGCCTTGTGTCGGGAGCACAGACTGGAGCACAGAACGAAGCACATTGCTCTTCGCTACTTCCTTGCTCGTGAGCTGCAGCAGCGTGGCCAGCTGCGCCTTGCTTACGTGGCCTCTCGGGCCAACACTGCTGATATCTTTACCAAGGCACTTCAGCCTTGTGATCATCAGCGCTTCTGTACGATGCTAGGTCTTGTGCCTACTTGGCCGCACTTGCTCACTTCTTGACCTTGCTTTGTACTGTGTTCTATATACGTGCTCTTGCTTGTTTCCTTTTTTATATAATCCTGCATGTGAACTGGCCTTGTGGCCTTGAACCTGTGCTCGGAATGTGTGGTGACGTTGTGATCCACCCTGAGCTTGCTTTGCTTTGCTTTGCTTGACTGGTCTTGTGACCCCTTGTTCTCCCCCACTTTGCCTATGGGGGTGTGTCAAATTATATAGGGGTTATACATTTGTAGGCTGTAGTGGGTTAGCACTAGGGGGTGCAGTATTTTCCTCGACATTCTTCTTGTACCCCCCCCTTGACCTAATTCCACTTCATTCCCGTAATCTCTCTCGACAGGACGCCGGCGAGGCGAGCGGTTGCACGCAGTGTGAGCTGCTCGTCGTGCATCCGCTTCAGGAATCCGAGCTTCTCCGCCATCGTCCGCGCTTTCCGTTTGTGCTGCGTGACTCGGTGGCGAGGCGACGGCGGGCATGCATCACGGTTGCCCGCATGGCTATCCTCGTCATGAACAAGATCATCGGGAAAGCGGGGAAGAGGAGGGGCTGGAGGCGCCGGAGGTGCCGGCGGGGCAGGCGGCGCTGGTGGCGCTGGCGGAGCTGGCGGAGCTGGTGGAATAACGACAGGGACCGCACGAACAGCGGGGTTCGGACGTGGTGATCGTGGCCTGCCTCTAGCACGGGACTGCATCAGAATGTTGAGCGCCGACATGGCGCCAACTGCTCGAGGGTTTGCTATCGGTGAATCATATCGAGATGGCTGCTGTTTTAAGGCTACAAAACTGATGGGGGAAATGCAGAGCAGAACACGAGACTACCCTGTGACTCCTCGCTGATGAGAGACGTGGAGGAAAAGGCCATCACGACCCTGCACCCAGAGGCACTTCTCGTGCCGCTGGCGGGAGGATTGTGACTGTATGATGGGATGAGACTGTGGGAGGTGCCTGCACCATGCTGGCAGCCGATAAGGCAGCCCGCCTCGTAATTACGTGCAAGATGTGTACAACGGGGCACCGTGTGTCACTCAGCGATTTCTCGCACTCTCGTCATGCGAACACATTTTTGCCGAATAAAAGACCCGTTGAATAGGCACAGTACAGCACTGTACAGCGTTAAATAAGAGTATAGGGGTCTTTTCTATTTCCAGCCAGCAAGATGTTCACCCTACCATTTTATACTGAATTTCTATGAAGTCCCCCGGGTCTTATATCCGGGAAAAGACGGTAGCATAGAAACTCTATAACGGTAACCCGTGAAAACAAACTACATGATGTGCATTGCTGACATCACGTTCCGATAATTTCCAATGAGTAGGTCGTCACGAATCACGATGAAAGGCACATCGCGTCGCGGGGACGAATAAGCGCAAGGGGGTGGGGACGGAGAAGCCATGTGCGCCATGGAGAACAGGAGAGCCAGAAGCTCCACTCCCCTGACATGTGCCCGCTCCTCACTGCCAGTTCCGCCGCGCGCCGCTTGGGCCTAGCGAGCAGCGTGAAAGGCGCAGCAGGACCCGGGCATCTCCCGCACCGCGCGGAGCCGCGCAGAACTACCTGGCTGTTATATGAGCGGTTACTATTACGGACTGACAGGAGTCAACGGCCGTCATGCGCGCCGCGGCCAGCGGTGCGTCCTTCTGCCGCCCGCTTTGCCGAACGCTTTTCCGCCGGCAGTCAGCTGCGCCTCCGCTCTCCGCCCCGCGCGCTTGCTCCTTTTCCGCCGGAGTCGCGGCAGCGGTTAGCGGCGCCGTCTCCTTGCCGTCTGTTCGCCTCGCTAGCAGCTGCCGCTGCCGCTGCCGCTGTCGCGCCGCCCTTGGCGTGGCGAGTCGCTCGCGCCTACACGCGGAAAGGTGTGCCGCTGGTGCGTGGGGGAACGTGGATTCAAGACTTCCTGTCCGTGCGCACGCGGGGCAGAGGGCAGGTTTCTGGGTGCTGCGGGAAGGAGACGGCGGAAGCGCGCTTTCGGGAGGGAAGCAGCGGAACCTTTGGCGCGGGGAGATAGGGGGGAGGCGGAAGGCGGTGGTGACAGGGTGCGGAGGGGAAAGTGAGGAGCGGTGGGGTGAGGGAGGAGTTGCAGGAGTGATGGAGAGTTGCGGGGGATATGGGCAGGTTGTGGGAGTGAAGGAAGGGGATAGGGCGGAGGATGCAGAGTGGGTTGTGGCGAACGAAGAGGAAGCAAGGAGAGAGGAAGAGGAGGTGGAGGGAGTTGCTATGGTGATTATCGGTGCTGGTCGGATAGGCCAGGCTTTCATGCAAATGGCTCCTCCTAATAGGTCAGTCCAGCTTTCACACAAAATCACCTCTCCTCGATCTTCCGGATTCTATTTTTGAGTCGTCTCAAAAGTAAAATCACCTCTCCTCGACCTTCTGGATTCCTTCTCTTCTGTTTTATACTTCAGCTCTGCTACTTCCCACTCCCCCCCCCGCTTCCACCAGCGCTCTGTTCCTGCCACGTGGCATGCCCCTCCCATCCCTGGTCCAGCTGTCGCCGCGCCATTCGCAGGGGCCAATCGTGGTGGCGACGCACAACTGCCACCTGGACGATGTGCTGGCGCAGGTACGACGCTGTACGACGCCACTCCGTATAGCCTGCGGGCGCAGGGGGGGGGGGTTGTTTCATGGACAGGTGGTGTCAGGGGCAGGGGATTCATGTGTAGGGGCGTGGGGTGAGGTACGGTTCACAGAGGTGGAGCGTGGGTTATGTCAGCCACATGCTCTTTTGTGTGAGCTCTATTAGCAGTCGCCCACACAACTTGCGCCAGTCCAGGCCCACTGAGGCTCCAAGGATCCCGCCTATTCGCAGGCCTTTATGGTAGCCGGCCTACCCACCTCCCCCCCCCCCCCCCTCTCTCTCTCTCTCTCTCTCTCTCTCTCTCTCTCTCTCTCTCTCTCTCTCTCTCTCTCTCTCTCTCTCTCTAATGGCCCTTTCATTGATAATCGTGGAGTACACACATGCAAGGTATTGGTATGGCACGCAACAGTCGTCACAAATCTAAGCCTCCTACTCATCTTGCAACGCAGCCTCCCCCTCCCCCCCCCCCCCGTGGCTCCCTCTAGGGATGTCCAGGGTGGGGTCCAAGACCATGAGGCAATCTCCAAGTGACGGGGCCTTTCCTACCGCCTCAAGCAACGGGTTTTCTACCGCTGCTGCGATGTTGCATTTCTCTTGGTACCCGACTGACTGCCCCCTTTGAAGAGCCACCGACCACCGCTGCCGATATTGGTGTAAGAGTTTGGCAGCTTGGTAGGAGGTGGGCTCGGCGTTGAAGAACCGCCGTGCAACCGATTCTGCAAGTAACTTCAGGAAGTCCACCGTCTCGGGGCAAGGGCACCCGTACGTCTCGACCGCGAGGGGGAAGAACTTGACCCCTTCCGGGCGGTCCTTGTAAAGGCCAATCTTTTTATCCGCGGCTTCCCGTGCTGCCCATCCCCGTCCCCTGGTTGCATTCTCGTCCTGGGTGCTAATCGGATCCGTTACAGTCACGTCGCAGATGTAGACCGCGCTGGTAGTGCGGTCGCGGAGGGCTAGGTCAGCCTTCTTCCCTTCCACAGGGCTGAATGCGGCCGACTCCATGTGCACCATGAAGCCGGCGTCCCTTGCCATTCGCGCGCACTCGTCTCTGAGCTCATTGTGCGTGTTGGTACGTCCCCCCCCTGTTCCGCACCGCAGCAGGTGATTGGGCAGCCGCTTATCCAAGATCTCGACCTTCTTCGTGCAGTTGCACACTCCCGGGGCAGCAAAGGGGAGCCCTAGCCGGAACTGGAGGGCGTTGGCATAATGAGGGGCGTCTAGCCGAAGCGAATGGTGAATCGGCACAGCATTTAACCAATCACCCGCCCCATAACCTGACAGAGACAACATCCGTTGGGTGTGGCCGTTGTTGGGGTTCGGCCGCATCCTCCGCACCTCCTCCACCTGCACCGCATACCGCTGTCCTTGGATAGCGGTGGCCAATCCATGCTGCAGCTTCCCCGTTGTTGGGGCCGCTCGTTCCGTCTGCAGGACCTCCATTGCCGGCAGAGGCAGCCCCTCCTCACATTCCGCCAGCCACTCGGTCAGGGGGGAGGCCTGGGTGTAGGGGCCCCGCATCAGCCCACGGGTGCCCTCCAATGGGCCGATGCATTCAGTGTCCAGGGAATCCAGCAGCTGCTGCGCCTGCGTGTAGCTGGCGAGGAAGCTGTAGCGCCCTTCCACCGAGGGGTCTGCTAGGCCAACCCCCCCGAGCGACACGGGGAGAGACGCTTGCGCCCAGACGCGTGCCATCTCCTCGTCTCCCCGCGGATGGCTAATCCCGCACGCCGTGAGAAGGGTTTCCAGCAGCCGCCTCCCCCAGCTTGACCATTCCTCCTTGGGCAGAAACGGCAGGGGTGTCGTGCGTGCGAGGTAAGAGACCCGGCGAGAGATACACCGGGACAGCAGCAGACCCGCCAGCTGCGGGTCCATCCGCTCGATCAGGTCCAGCGGCACGCTCATCCCCGCAAGACTGGTACGTACGAAATCTGAAGTTGCTGGTGCCGTGCCGATGTAGCTGCCCAATACTTTCAGGCCGTCGCTGCTGGGAGGAACTCCTTCAGGCAAGCGGCAGTCCGGGGACATCTTGCTGGACCAAGCCCCGCATTTGGCTGGGTTATGGCGGAGCCCAATTTCCGCCAGGTGGCCCGTGAAGTGTTCGAAGGCAGCCACGCACGCCGATGGCTCCCCGAGGAAGGTCACGTCGTCTGCGTAGGCTAGGCAGACGACGGATGGGTGAGCCTCTGCTGCGGCTTTAAGAGCAGGGTGCATGGCAGCGGCGAAGAGAAGGGGACCGAGGGGATCCCCCTGGCGGACACCGGTTTCACTGTGCTAAGGCGGGTGAGCAAAGGCCGCGTCCAGGTGAAGGAGAGAGGGCTGGCCGTATGAGAAGCGAACCAGTGGCAGCAGCGGCTCTAATCGTGAGCCCTTCAGGGCTTTTGCTATTGCCAGGCGATCGACGCTGTTGAAGGCATTAGCCAGGTCCGCCTGCAGGACTAGCGCATCCGGGTTAGCTGCCACATAGGTCCTAACGATATGGATGACCGCCTCAGCCCCGCCAGGCACGGCCACACCAAACTGCAGAGGTAAGAAGAATTCCCTTGCTGCGTCTGCCAACTGCGTTAGTGCTGCCTTGGCTGCCAGGCGGAGGATGCATTCGCCTATAGCGATCGGCCTGGTCCCCCCGTCAGGTTTGTCTAATGCTATTAAACGTGATGCTGTAAGAAGCTTCCCCACCTCCTGGTGCAGTTTCCCGCTCAGGATTGTGTTAACTAATGCGTGCAGGTGAGAACCGACTGTGCTGTGCAGCAGGGCAGCTTCGCGGATGTGCTTGAAAGTTGTGCCTGAGGGCCCCGCGCCAACCCCGTTCTCACATCTTGAGAGAAGCTTCAGAAAAGCTTCTCGCGTTACTGACAGGTGAGAGTCTGGCTCGGGCTGGGGCCACGGTGAGACAGGGCGGGAAGCACTGGGATGCTTGGCGCGGAGGGCGTCCAGCACAGCAGGTGAGGGTGTGCTGACAGGGGTGGCTTCCAGCGCCATGACTGCCCTCCTCAAACTGCCACGTCGTGCCAGTCCCTCGGCTCTGGAGATGATGCCTAACTCATCTGGCACGTGGCGGGGAGGTGGTGGTTGTTCTAGTGAATCTATCGTTTCCAGGTACAGCGCCTCCCAATCCCCCCGCAAGAAATTCCGCAGGCGTTTTTCGGTCGCCTTCCAATCCGGATGTCTTGGCGAATGCTGACGCAGAGTCAAACGGGCGGCAAACAGTAAAACCGTCCAGGCAGAGAGGGAGTCAGGGTCGCGTGCGAGTCGTAGGAGTGGTGTCAGTAACACCATGGCAAAAAGCAGGCGCAATTTCTCCGGCAGGCGACGTGCCAGAGGTGAGTTGCGACTGTCGCGCAGCTTATCCACATCCCAGGTACTGACATTCGCGAAGAGAGCGTCGTCCCTGGCGAGGGCCTCGGGCGACTTTTGGGGAGGGGGCTGTGTCTGCTGCTGGTTACCCCTCGCTGTAGGTCGCGGTACGTTTGGAGGTGGTGATGTCAGATTCGGTTGGGCGGGGTGGTTGACAGTGGTGGCAGGGAGGCGGGAAGCGGTACGAGTCTGTGGTGAGAGTCGCGGTTGGGTGGGTGGGGTTCTGAAATTTGTTGACGCGCTTCGAGCTTGGGTTGAGCCGATTCTCCCCCGTGCTGGTGTTTGTGACTGGGCCTCCTCTGAGGCACTTGAACTTGACGGTGAGTTTGCGTCTACATCCTCCGCCTCATAAATGCTTCCCCCGTAGGTGCCCCCTGCGCGGCACAGTCACCTGGTGCTGGTACTGAGCGGCATGCTGGGCGGCGTTTTGGGCGTTTCAGAATTCCCCTCTTTTTCCCCCCTTCCCCCTTCCGCTCCCCCCTCCTCTTCCCTCCCCCTTCTCCCCGCTGGTGCCCCCTGCGCGGCACTGCGACCTGGTGTTGGTGCAGAACGGCATGCTGGACGGCTGTTGATGCCGCTAGGGAGTAGGCGCCTCACCTACGGTATCTTCCCCCGCTCCCCTCTCCCCCCGCAGGCCTCCCCTGCGTGGCACAGCAACCTGGTGCTGCTGCAGAACGGCATGCTGGACGGCTTTAGGGGTGCCTACAAATGCTCCCCTAACCTCCCCCGCTCCCCACCCCCCCGCAGGTCCCCCCTGCGCGGCACTGCGACCTGGTGCTGGTGCAGAACGGCATGCTGGACGGGTGTTGAGGCGACATAGGGATTCCTTCATTTTCCCCCTTTCCCCCTGCTACCCCCCCGCAGGTGCCCCCTGCGCGCTACAGCGACCTGGTGCTGGTGCAGAACGGCGTGCTGGACGGGTGGCTGGCAGCACACGGCCTCTCCCATGCCGTCACTCGCGTGCTACTCTACATGGCCGCCTCTCAGCCTCAGGGGAACGCGCCAGAGTCCGGAGGGGAGGAGACATTGAAGCAAGGGGCAGCACATGAGAGCTGCCAGTCCCAGCAGCACGGGGTTGAGGAGACGGAGGGAGCGGGGTGTGAGCCGCCGCCGCCGCCGCTGTCCCGGTCCCAGCTGCCTGAGTGCTTCACGTTGTCCCCTCGCTTCCCCCACGGCGTGTGCATCACGGATGGCGGGGGGCGATCCGTTGCCACCGGCAGGTGAGGTGCGCCGCTGCTGCTGCTGCTGCTGCTGCTGCTGCTGCTGCTGCCGCTGCTGCTGCTGCTGCTGCCGCTGCTGCTGCTGCTGCCGCCGCCGCCGCCGCCGCTGCTGCTGCTGCTGCCGCCGCCGCCGCCGCCGCTGCTGCTGCTGCTGCTGCTGCTGCTGCTGCTGCTGCTGCTGCTGCTGCTGCTGCTGCTGCTGCTGCTGCTGCTGCTGCTGCTGCTGCTGCTGCTGCTGCTGCTGCTGCTGCTGCTGCTGCTGCTGCTGCTGCTGCTGCTGCTGCTGCTGCTGCTGCTGCTGCTGCTGCTGCTGCTGCTGCTGCTGCTGCTGCTGCTGCTGCTGCTGCTGCTGCTGCTGCTGCTGCTGCTGCTGCTGCTGCTGCTGCTGCTGCTGCTGCTGCTGCTGCTGCTGCTGCTGCTGCTGCTGCTGCTGCTGCTGCTGCTGCTGCTGCTGCTGCTGCTGCTGCTGCTGCTGCTGCTGCTGCTGCTGCTGCTGCTGCTGCTGCTGCTGCTGCTGCTGCTGCTGCTGCTGCTGCTGCTGCTGCTGCTGCTGCTGCTGCTGCTGCTGCTGCTGCTGCTGCTGCTGCTGCTGCTGCTGCTGCTGCTGCTGCTGCTGCTGCTGCTGCTGCTGCTGCTGCTGCTGCTGCTGCTGCTGCTGCTGCTGCTGCTGCTGCTGCTGCTGCTGCTGCTGCTGCTGCTGCTGCTGCTGCGAGAATCACTTTCTATGTGATATATTCGACTACAAAAATCCAGAGAGCCCCTATCTTTGCATCTAAGAGCCCCTGTCGTTACTTACGAGCTATAACACGATGTCCAGGTACAAGTACATGGGACTGACATGTGGGACCGCGCGCGATCTTTGGTCCTTGTTGCGCTGGCGTGCTATTGGCCGGCGACGGTTCCGAGGTTCACGTCAACCAATCATAATCACAATTGACGCCACTGCCTGCCTGTGCTCGCACCGTCTGCCTGTGTGTGCGCATGTTGCATGTGTGATGGCGTGGCGTGCTAGCGTGGCGCGGCTGTGGTAGCTCAAGAGTTTCGGAATATAGCCAGGAGGAATCACCTGTGCCTGCCTCAAGAATCACCTGTGCCTGCCTCAAGAATCACCTGTGCCTGCCTGCCTGCCACTCCCTGCCATTGCCCCCTTCTGCTGTTCCCAAACACTACCCGTATAGTCCTCCCCTACCCGTATAGTCCTCCCCTCGATCTCTCAACCGCTGTTCTTTCCACCCCGGCCCTCCCACTCCGCCTTCCCCCACCGCCCCTAATCACCCTCTCCCCGCTCCACTCCACTCCCCACCGCTCTTCTCCTTCCCCCTTCAGGTGGGCACCACTCGTAGCGCGTCTCCTCTCCGCCTCAGCAGTCCCCTGCACGCCCGTCCCCCCTAGCACCTTCCGGGAGCGAGCAGGGGAGAAGCTGCTGTGGAGCTGCATCTTCTGGCTGCTCTGCGCCTCATCACCCTCTCCCCACTCCACCACTCCACTCCCCGCCCCTCCCCCTTTCCCCCACAGGTGCGCCCCAACTCATTGCGCATCTCTTTCCAGGCGCCTCAACAGCCCTTCTCCCCGCTCCTTCCCCCTTCAGGTGGGCACAACTGATAGCGCGTCTCCTCTCAGCCTCTGCAGTCCCCTGCACGCCCGTCGCCCCCACCACCTTCCGGGAGCTAGCCGGGGAGAAGCTGCTGTGGAGCTGCATCTTCTGGCTGCTCTGCGCCGCCAGGGGCGGGGCTCCACTGGGGGAGGTGGTATCTGCGGACAGGGGGACGGTGAGGGCGCTTGTGGGGGAGCTGTGGCCGCTGCTGGTGGCGTTCTGGGGGGAGGGGGGGAGTGGGAGGGGGGAAGGGATGAGCGAGGGTATTGTGGGGGGTGCGAGCGAGGCAGGAAAGGGAACGGGGGAGGGCACGGGGAGCAGGGAGAAAGGGGAGAGGGATGAGGGGAAGGGAGAGGGGGGAGATGAGGAGGGAGAGTACGAGGCAATCTGTGAGAGGCTGTGTGCATACTCCATGGCTATCCCCACAGTGGTGCCCAGCATGCCCATGGCTCTAGCCGAGTTCCCCTGGCGCAATGGCTGGTTCATGCGCTCCTGTTCCCCCACGCCCACACACACCCGCCTGCTCGCCTCGCTGCTGCCCTTGTACCCGGATTGCCGCGACGTCATTCTCCCATACCTGCCGGCTGAAGAGGCAAGCCCGTGGGTTGAGACTCAAGCGGAGGCTGTTCAAAAGCCCACGCCCGCCCACATGCTCTCTCCTCCTCGCTGCTGCCCTTGTACCCGCATTGCCGCGACATCATCCACCAGCTGAAGAGGCAAGCACGCGTAGGCACAAGAAAGGCTGATCGGAGAAGGCTCTTCGGAAGGTCGTGCAGTTTCACCTGCTCTCCGCGACGCTGGCCTTGCACCCGCACGCCCACGTTGTTTTTTCTAGGCGCTTGCCTCAAATAACGGCGCTGGCCTCGCACCCGGACGCCCACGTTGTCCTTCTGTCGATCGTACCAGCGGGAGAGGGGAGCCGGAAACGGACATCTATTAATTGTTGCAAATCCATGACGCTCATGCCTTCGCGCACATTTTTGTACTCGTTTGACACACTAGTGCAATCCTCGCTACCTCGATCCATTGCACCCGTAACACTTGGTATTCAGAGCCACTTTCTTTCCTTTCGGACCGCGCATCTCCGCACCCCAGGAAATCAACTTTTGATTTTTCACTCGAAGGGACGCACGCACCTTAGCCCCTAGGAGCCGCTGTCCTCGCGTTCTCTCGTAAACGCGTGCAGCCACGACTGCGCCTAGACTAAGCTGAGCCGACGCCCTTCGCCATGGCCGAACACATCGACGTCACCACTCTCACGCAGGAGCGCCTGAACGAACTGCTGCAGCAACTTCGCGAAAACTCCGAAGAAATCGCGGCGCTGACGGCAGAACGCTCGTCCCTGCAAAACGACCTCACGAGAGCACAACAAGCACAATCTCAAGCACCTGGCACTCCGGACCAGCCCGCACCCTCAACATCGCAACACGGAAGCGTGGGGCAACCCGCGAGCGCGGCTGGTGATGGCGTCGTCCGCCCCGACGGAGACGACGACCACGGCACGACACACCCCGAGGCGACGAATGCGGCCCCAAGCCGGCCCCGCGTCACGATTTCGGCACCGACTCACGATTCGGAGCTGCCGTCACCGATGCCGCTGAAGCCGCAGCGTCCGCCATGCTTTGACCCGAGTCAACGGGGTGGTCCTACCGTTCAGGCGTGGTTGTTCACGATGAACGTTTTCTTCGACGCCAACTACGTCTCGGAGGATACGGCGAAAATTCGCTACGCCGTGTCGCTGCTGCGAGGACCCGCCATGGACTGGTGGCGCGTCATCGTCACGAAGCCGAACGACTACGCGACTCTACCGACACGGGAAGGACAAACCGGACCCTGGGCGCCGTCGTATTTCGTGGAGGTGCCCCAATATCGCACGTGGGACGCGTGGTGCGCAGGTCTGCGTGCCCGATTCGAGCCAATTGCGGCTTCGATCGCGGCGCGACAGAAGCTCCGCACTTGGCGCCAACTCGGTTCCGTCCAGGACTACACCAGCGGGTTTCTGGCGCTATGCGAGCAAGTGGGATACATGCACGAGAGCGAGCGCGTCGACCGCTACATCGGCGGCCTGAAGCACGACATCGCTCAGGAAATCCAGCTTCGCGGCGTCACCGACTTTCAGGAGATTCTCGCTATGGCGGAGAAACTCGATTTCTTCCGCCGACCGAGACCGGGGTCCTACGGCAGTAGCAGCAACTGGGGACATCGGTCTCGTGGGACGAACGAGGGCGCTACGATACGTGCCGTCGCCGCGAATGCCGCTGCCGCACCATTCAAAGGGCGCTGCTTCGCGTGCAATTGGCCGAAACACCGCAAGAGCGAATGCCCGGAAAACGCTAAGGGAAAGGGGGAAGCTGAGCAGCAGAAACAGACCAAGCAGCAGGGAAACGCTGGGAGTCAGTAGCAGACGGGCCCTCTACTGACAGGTCACGCCGCTCGCCCGACCCAACCGACCCTCACCGAGTGATTGTGCCGGTTCACGCAGTCGACCACACTCGGCCGAATAAGGAGGGTACCGCGGTAGACAGCCCCATACTGCTTAGTGGGAAAATTGGGACGGACTTAATTAAAATCTTCGTAGACGGGGGAGCCAGCCACAGCCTCATCAACACTGCCACGGCACGGAAGCTGAAACTGCCACTGGACAAATGCTTACCTGAGATCGATGCACGGCTGGTTGACGGCACGCCGCTGGCGATACGGGAACGCGTAGACCGGGTTCGGATTCGATGCGGGGGTAACTTCACGTTTAGCCAGGAAATGCTCGCGACGACCCTCGACGGAACCGACATTTTACTCGGCCGGGATTGGCTGCGACGACACAATCCGCGAATCGACTGGACGACGGGTGACTGCACCGTGCGAGTGAACGGTAACAACATCGCCTTACCTCGCTGGGGCTCGCCTGAGTCATCATCGGTGCGTGTCAACGCGATCACAATGAAGCGCGCCGTAGCGGCAGGAGCTGACGTGTATGCGGTTGACATTCGGGAAGCCGAAGCAGCAGACCAGGGAGGGGATTTACAGAAACTGCTTGCCGACGTACCGGATGACTTGGCAGCACTCCTGAAGCGGTACAGCGGGATTTTCCCAGACGACCTACCGACGGGACTGCCACCTCAGCGACCGCACGACCACAGGATAGAATTAGAACCGGGAGCACAGCCGACAGTACAGCGACAGTTCCGACTGACCCAACCCGAACTGGACGAACTGAGGAAGCAGCTCGATTACCTGCTCGAGAAGGAGTTCATTCGCCCTAGTTCGTCGCCCTTCGCCGCACCGATACTGTTCACACCGAAGAAAGACGGAGGGTTTCGCATGTGTATCGACTACAGAGCACTGAACAGGGTTACCATCAAATCGCGTTACCCCATTCCGCGAGCCGACGAACTGATCGATCAACTGCGCACAGCCCGGGTTTTCTCGAAAATCGACCTTAGAGGGGGTTACCACCAGATTCGCGTCAATCCGCCCGACTGCCCTAAGACCGCATTTCGCACCCGCTACGGATCCTTCGAATACACTGTCATGCCTTTCGGACTGACCAACGCCCCCGCCACATTTCAGATGATGATGAACGAGGCTTTCCGCCCGCTTTTAGATAAGAGCGTCATCGTTTATCTTGACGACATACTGATCTACAGCCCCGACAGAGCACAGCACCTACAGGACATTGAAGCAGTTTTCAAAATTCTGAGTGAGAACCGCCTACTGACAAAAGCATCTAAGTGCGAGTTTCTACAGGACAGACTGGAGTTTTTAGGCCACATTATTTCAGCCGACGGAGTGGAAATAGACCCGAAAAAAATCGCGACGATTCAGGCTTGGCACGCGCCAACGAATCTGACTGAGCTGCAGAGTTTTTTGGGGTTCGTCAACTACGTGCGTCGGTTCGTCCCCGACATGGCGAAGCTGACCGCCCCGCTGACCGACTTGCTGAGGAAGGGGGTTGAGTACACGTGGGGGGAGAAAGAGCAAGCTGCCTTCTCGGCCCTCAAGAAAATTTTGTGCTCGCCGCCCGTGCTTCACATCGCAGATCCGCACCGACCGTTCGAGCTCGTCACCGACGCAAGTGACATCGCTGTGGGAGCAGTACTGTTGCAGGATTTCGGGAACGGCCTCCAGCCAATCGCGTACGAGTCCCGCAAGCTGCACCCGCCTGAACGCAACTACCTGATACACGACCGCGAGATGCTGGCGATCGTGCACGCGTTCAAGGTTTGGCGGTGTTACCTGACTGGCGCCGACGTGACAGTACGGACAGACCACCGATCACTACAGTACCTCCGCGCCCAACCGAATCTCAATCCGCGACAGATCCGCTGGTTGGACTACCTCGAGTCCAACTTCCACTACACAGTTACGTACAAAAAAGGCGCATCAAACATCGCCGATGCACTCACCCGCCCTACCGCCCAACTCCATGCCATCCTACTCGCCCAGACTAACCCACTTTTAACAGGCCTATTCACCCACGGATACCGCACCGACCCATTTTTCACGACTGGAAATTCACAGCAACTGGCAGAAGCTAAGGGAGTGTATTACGTAAAAACAGGCACCAACCGCATCTGGGTACCCGCGTACTCACTACTGAGGGAGCTGCTACTGCAGGAGGCACACGACGGGATTACCTCGGGACATTTCGGGGTAGAAAAAACGCGACAGCAACTGCAGCGGTATTACTACTGGCCGGAGCTGTTGACCGACGTGCAGCAGCACGTGGGCTCGTGCCCTGACAGAATATTATGCTCTAGCCTGTAGTGGGGTGCTCTGTAGCGAGTACAACCCTTCTAGGGTTTGCTATTTGTATCCCCATTCTTGCTAGTGCAACCCCCCTCTTTCGCCTAAACTCTCTTGCCTAGCTAGGACTCTCCTAGCTATGGCTCCTAAGACTACCGCTTATCTCAACATGGCATCAGAGCTTAACGTTCCTGGCCTGTGGGCCCACTTCACTGCTTCCGCTGCTACTGCTACTCCCTGTCCGCCGCGCGCCCCGTGGTGCGCGGCGTCGAAACTAGGGTTTTCAGCCCGCCGTGCGCCCCGAGGCGCGCGGCGGTTTTCTGCCCGCCGTGCGCCCCGAGGCGCGCGGCGGTTCTCTGCCCGCCGTGTGCCCCGAGGCGCGCGACGGGTTCCTGCCCCGTCACTCGGCACGTCGCCCCCGGGAGGCGCTGCGACGGGCGACGGGGACCCGCGCGTCGCCCCCCGTCGCCCGTCGTGGCCTGCACGCGGCCCGTACACCCGGCGCGCGGCCCGTACGGGCTGCGCCAGGCCTGCGCGCGGCCCGTACGGGCTGCGCCAGGCCCGCGCGCGGCCCGTACGGGCTGCGCCAGGCACGCGCGCGGCCCGTACGGGCTGCGCCAGTCCCGCGCGCGGCTCGGACCGCCTGCGCGCGGTTCGGGAGGCTGTGCCAGGCCCGTGGGCGCCCCGTTCTTCGCTGCCCCTGTCCTCCCCGCTGTCCCCCGTGCTTCTGAAGGCGCCCCACCCCTCCTTCTGCCCGTTCTCCTGGATTAGGGTTTGGGGTTGGGGGGTATGGGGGTGCAGCTTCTGTGTGCCGTTCCCTGCTCCTCCTCCTCCTCCGTCTCCCTGTGCTGCAGCTGCCGCTGAGGGGGGTGGACCTGTTGGAGCCGTCGGAGTGGTACTAAGGGGGGGTGAAGGGGGAGTGGAGCTAGCGGTGTAGCAGCGGGTGTGTGTCGAGGGATGTGGGACTGTTGGGGGAGGTTGAGGGGAGGTTGCCGTCGTGTCGTACGCAGCGCCTGTACTCCGGGGCACTCACTCCCGGTAGCTCAGAGAGCCGGTTGCGCCGTCGCCTGTGGGTCCGTTGCTCCTGCTGCTCGTCTTAGCCGCGGAGCCTGTTACTCCTGTACTCCGGGGCACTCACTCCCGGTAGCCACTGTGTCGCACCAGAGCCGTCTGTTGCCCGTGTGACTGCAGCTTCAGTCGTCGCCTCCCATCTACTCTCCTCTCGCCAGCCCTCCTCCTCCTCACTTCCCCGTTGTGACTACCACTAGCTTTGCTCATAATTGTGAACTTTAAACTATTGCTTCTTAAACTTGTGCTCAGAATGTGTGGTGACATTGTGATCCACCCTGAGCTTGTACTGCTTTGCTTGCTCTGCTGATTACACCCCACTTTGGCTATGGGGGTGTGTCAGAATATTATGCTCTAGCCTGTAGTGGGGTGCTCTGTAGCGAGTACAACCCTTCTAGGGTTTGCTATTTGTATCCCCATTCTTGCTAGTGCAACCCCCCTCTTTCGCCTAAACTCTCTTGCCTAGCTAGGACTCTCCTAGCTATGGCTCCTAAGACTACCGCTTATCTCAACATGGCATCCCCATGTGTCAGGTGATGAAAAGCTCGAAGAAGCGGAAGGCGGGTCAGTTGCAGCCGATACCACCGCCCGAGCGAGCCTGGCAGCAGGTTACCATGGACTTCGTCACGGGGTTACCTTCGAACCCCGGGGGTAACGACGCGGTGATGGTCGTCGTAGACAGGTTGACGAAGATGGCACACTTCGCTGCGTGCAAGAAGTCGATCTCAGCCGAGGAAACCGCTCGCCTGTTCATCGCACCTGTTGTTCGCCTGCACGGGATACCAGCAGCGATCATCAGCGACAGGGACACGAAGTTTACCAGCAACTTCTGGAGGAACTTGTGGGAGCAGTTCGGGACCAGGCTACAGTTCAGCTCGTCGTACCACCCCGAGACCGACGGTCAAACGGAGCGGACGAATCAGACGATGGAGCAGTTGATTCGTGCCACGTGCGACGACCCCACCACTTGGGAGCAGCAGCTGCCGCTGATTGAGTTCGCGTACAACAACGCCACGTCAGCGACGACGCAGCAGTCCCCGTTCTACCTGAACTACGGGCAAAATCCAACAGTGCCCATGACGCCGAACCCGGACAACCCCACACCACGTGCACAGCAATTCGCCGAAATACTGCAAGCTGCCCGCACCAGAGCCGCAGAAGCAATTAAAAAAGCCAACGTCATCGCTAAGCGCAACGCTGACCGCCACCGCCGCCCCGTCACGTATCAGTCTGGAGATTACGTACTGCTCGACACGCAAAATCTGCGACTGCCCGACGTACCAAAATTACGACCGCGCTACTGTGGACCGTTCCAAATCAGCCACATGATCACGCCAGTAAACGCGCACCTACTGTTACCGACCGACTGGTACATCAGCCCTTCATTCCACGCCAGCCTGCTTCGCCCATACATACCGACCACCAGCCAATTACCGCGTCACCGCCCGCATTCAATGACTCGCCCTGCATCGGAGCCGATCATCGAGCCCGAAAAAATCCTGAGCCATCGGATTCGCCACCCCACGGGAATCAAGAGGATTGAATTCCTCGTTCGCTGGAAGGACCGCACGCCAACTGAGGATAGCTGGGTGCCCCTGGCCAACATCGAAAACCACCCTGCCCTGCAAGTGTACCTGAGGAGCCGGGGATTCCGCGATATACACGCACTCGCGTAGCGGAGGGGGCTTCTTGAGGGGGGGGGGGGGGGGTAGTGTAAGGAATTTTCTCGGCATTCCTTACGGAGTCCGGCTACATCGCGTACAACACTGCCGTTTGTTCGCCCGTTACTGCTAACGGGACTTCGCCACTTCGCGCGCACTGTTTTGCCAAACCTCGCACTGCTGGCCCGGCCGTGTCGGCCTACGCTTCGGGACTAGCCCGAACCTCACTGCCAGCATAGCACTAGCTAGCTCGCACGCACCGCGTTACCGTTTGCATGTTCGCATACAAATGTTCGCTCATGCCTTCGCTCACATTTTGTACTCGTTTGACACTCTAGTGCAATCCTCGCTACCTCGATCCATTGCACCCGTAACAAGTATAGAATGTTGAATGAAACAGACCCCTTGGAATAATCTTTCTTTTGGAATACCGTAATTAAATCTTTACAACTAACAACTTCTTGTGCTCGTAATAGCCGGCTGTACTGAAGAACCTCATAGAGGAGATGGACATGAGCTTTTCTGCAATTGACACGCGGCAGACTTCTCGTCAAGGCGCGTCCTGCCCCAACATGCGGCGCTCTCCTCTCTGTCCAGCCTCGCATGCGCACGAGACTCGCGGCGCCACACACACTATGCCGTCGTCGCAGCTCACGTCGTTCCTCCCGCAAGCGTCGCACCGCAAAGACTCGCAACCATCTTCGCAACAAACGCCTCTCTGGCATGCTCCAGAAAGCGTCGCCGCTCGATCGCTCGATCGCGGGGAGTCACTTTCGCGGGGTGTCCTCCTCCCCGTTGACGCCTCCTTTGCTTTGCAGTTCTCTTCTTGATTCCACTCGCGCCGCGGCGTCGCTGCGATTGCTAGACCTCTCGTGTAGTAATAGCCAATCCCGCTTATCTACATCCTCATGGCCTTAGCGCTAGCGCTAAGTATTTTAGAGGGCTCTTGTCACATCGCTATCGCTCCTACCGTCGCCATTGGCCCCGCTAGCACCGTCTCCGCTGCTCTCTCCACCCGACTGCACCGCGGAGCTGCGAGGACGAACCGTGGCGTGACTCGCGCCTGGGCCGCACCGATCTGTGAGTAGTGCGCTCTGCTTACGTGGTGGGCCCCGAGCTGGATCTTTCGCCAAGTGGCTCTCATCGCTCTCATCGCTCTCGTCGCTCTCGTCGCTCTCGTCGCTCTCTTCTTATTATCGCTTTCTTGGCTCCCGCAAGCTCTGGCCGGTCCCCCGAGTCACACTCTCTACTGGTTTTTCTTTCCAGAAGCATTCCGTAACTGAAGCAGATTTCCATTTTTGCCTTTCTTTTCTTTTCTTTTCCTTTTTTTTTTCTTTGGGTTAGTAACAACGGGAGGCACGCCCATGCTCCCAGGCATTCGCCTGTTTCACGCACCTGGACTTCGGTGCTTTCGATTGCAGGTCCGAACCATGGCCAGCCTTCAGGAATCCTTCACTGAAGCAGCCTCACAAGCGCAGCAGCACAAGGAGCCTGCGAAGCATGACGTCAGCGGCGGCGGCGCGAGCGGGGACGCCGTGAGGCAGGCGCAAGCGAAAAAGATGAGCGGCGGGGGGGAGGAAGCGCGTGCAGAGGGGGAGGAGTCGGAGGAGGTGCGCGGGGAGCTGGCGGAGGCGTACGAGAAGGATATGGACGATTACGGGCAGGCATACGCGACGCGGTCGTCGGACGAGGGTTTCGGGCAGATCTACGGGGAACCAGTGACGCCCTTCGGCGTGCGTGGCAGGTAAGCTCGCGCTCTCCGCAAAGTTCGGCGCCTCGTGCAGTCGATCGTTGTAGTGCACTTGAGAAAGAGAAGTGTGCGTGTAAGTTTGGAGATTAGTGGTATCGCGAGACCGACTAATTCTTCCGTATGTGTGCTTGCGCGCGTGCGCGTGCGCGTTTTCGCTGCGTGTCTGTCAGAGTGGGCAATGCTCCTGCGGCGTGGACGGAGGAGGAATCGAAGCTGGACCGTGCGGGGGAACCAGCAGGGCGAGAGGCGTATGATAGGGGGCAGGGCGCGGCGGTGGGGGAGAGGGAAGTGGGGCGGCACGCAACTGGCGAGAAGGCTACGACATGCAAACCGGAGGGCGGTAGTCAGGGGTTTAAGAGTTGAAGATGTGGTTTAGTACGGTCTGAGGGGAGTTGAGGGTAGAAATTGCTCAGTTGATGTTGTACGAAGTTCCAAGATTGGTGTACTACTGTAGAATGCTGTATGTACATAGTGTACACTTCAAGAAGCTTATATCTTACTGTTGTCCTAATCTGTTTGCTGTGATACGTGACTTCGATTTTGTAAAAACTAGAAAAAATGTGCAAAATGTAAATCTCAATCATTGCCACCATCACACTTATCTTCACCTTACTATTCCTGTCTATCCCCCTCTTGCTTAGACTACCGCACTTTTTCACACCCACCCACTCCTGCCCAATGGAAAGTATCCGCCTAAAAACTAGTCACCCCAAGGGCTTGTTCCTACGCCCAGCCCCCAACCCCCCAGATCAGAGCCCCGCATTCCTTTCTCCCCACCCTATGCACCGCACACAAGAACCCCACCCTGCATGCACACATCACAATTCACAACTCTATACCACTCCCACTCGACCATCCCCTATTCACTACCCCTTCTCCTCACCACCCCCACAACCCTGGTCCGCCTTTGAACGGCCCCACAATGTCCTTAGTCACCCACCCGCCATAGAACCCCCCTCAGCTGCGGCTCTGCAATCTCTCCACCACCCACACGGCAAGCATTCATGGGCGCGCAGTAGAAGGCCAGGTGTGACGCTATGGGGTGAAAATCAGACCATCCCACCCTAAACCCTCACCACCCCCACGACCCTGGTCCACCCTTGAACGGCCCCACAATATCCTTGGTCACCCACCCGCCATAGAACCCCCCTGGCTGCGGCTCTGCAATCTCTCCACCCACACGGCAGGCGTCCATGGGCGCACAGTAGAAGGCCAGGTGGGATGCTATGGGGTGGAAGAGGGGCGTGGGGCGCTCGTAGCTCCATGCACAGCGCGGCAGGTGCTTGGACGCCTGTGGTGCACCGTGGGGACGGTAAATGGGGGAGGGGGAAAAGAGAGTGACTTTTGAGTCGACTCAAAAGTCGCTCGTAGCTCCATGCACAGCGTGGCAGGTGCTTGGACGCCTGTGGTGCATCGTAGAGATGGAGGGAGATGGAGAGGGAGCAGGGAGAGGGAGATGGAGAGGGAGCAGGGAGAGGGAGATGGAGAGGGAGAGGGAGAGGGAGATGGAGAGGGAGAGGGAGAGGGAGATGGAGAGGGAGAGGGAGAGGGAGAGGGAGAGGGAGAGGGAGAGGGAGATGGAGCAGAGAGAGGGAGATGGAGCAGAGAGACGGAGATGGAGCAGGGAGAGGGAGCAGGGAGGGAGGGAGCACGGGGGAGGAGAGAAAAGAAGGGTGATGCAGGAGAGCAGTGTGGGAGGGATGGACGGACAGGACTCATTCGCAGAGTGGGTGGTCTGGATGGTGGAAGAGGGCGCATGCGGCAGGATGCCGTGCGAATGTGCAAGCCAAGTGAGAGAAACACAATGGAGGCCCACCCAACCCAACAGAGAGAATCTGGCAGAGAAGAGCTTGCATTGAGCGGAAGCATGCGCAGCAGCCAGGACTGCCCAGCTTCGTTATTTCAACACTGGGAGCCCTGCAACCCTCGGCCCTGCAACGATCAGCCCTGTAACCCGAGGCCGGTAGGTCTAAAGGGCAAGGAATGGTGCTGACCTGGGGAATGGAGACGGTCCAGTATGTGGCTGCGCCTTTCCACTCGCAGAACGATGACGCTGCGTCCTCCCGCTGCACGTACTGCATCTGAATGTCCTCCTGGTGTTCCCACGCATGAGGCGAGGAGAAACACCGCACACGGGAGGAGGGCACAGGCGCGGAGAAGGGAAATGGGAGCGAGGAGAAGCGTGGGGAGGCGGAGGCGAGGGGAAGGGGAATGAGGAGGTAAGCAGAGGGACGGCTGGTTTGACCTGAGGGATGTTGTAGCCATCCCACTTTTGCCATTGTTTGTCAACTAGGATCCGAGTTGATAAACAACAGCAACAGTGGGATGGCTCGACTGACCTTGTGGGATGTGGTACACGACACTGGGGAAATCTCGTCTCCAACGCGTGAAACACACACTCTTGCTGTCTTGAGATGTCGCAAGACTGACCTAGGGAATGTAGTACACAGGTGGGTGACTGGTCTCCAGCACGCGCCACGTGTTCTCAATGTCCGTCAGCATCAGGCCCCCCCCCCCTCCCCCCCCACACACACCTGCACGTGCTTCCTGGCACTCTCAAGAATGAGTGAGCAAACAACGTCCGACTGACCTGAGGGATGTAGTACACGGGGGGGTGACTCGTCTCCAGCACGCGCCATGCATTCTCACTATCCGCCAGCATCACGCCGCCCACCTCCACCTGCACGCGCTTCCCCACGCGCTCCACGCGCGGCGGGCGCGGGTAGTCCCACACCGACTCCTGCCCCGGCCCGGGGGGAACGCGCTGGCGGTACCCCGGGTGGTTGGCGTTCGGATTCATAGCCGCGGACAGGCGGACTGGACGAGGCGCGGAGGGCGCGGACGCGGAGGGATGCGCGCGGGAAGAAGGGCGACGGAGGTGTGCGGGATTGGAGAATGGGGACGAGGAAGAGGGGCCAAGGGGAAGGGGAGGGTGCGCGAGAGGAGAGCTGGTAGTACGGGGGGTAGCAGGGGGAAGGGCAGGTGTGCGCTGTGGTCGTGTGGTGGAGGCGGCGGTGAAAAGGGGAAGCAACAGCGGCAGCGGACCGGCGGGGCAGGTGGCGGCGACCATTGCTTTGGCGCGCACGAGGACTGCTACTGTGCTCACGAGGACGAGAACTAGGACGAGGAAGAGGAAGAGGACGAGGCGGACCCGGCGCTCGTGCTTTGGTGCTGCTCGTTGCGCCGCTATACGCCCCGAGTTTTCACTACTCCCCCTCCGTCTCCTCCTCCTCCCGCTCTTCTGCAACGGGGATCCCACTTGTTCCGTCTACGACTGCCTGACGCTGCCCCCCCTGCTCCGTTCACGGCGGAGCGCAGAAGAAGAATCGGGCATGCGATAGATCGGAGGGGCGACGGCGACACAGGAGGGAGGGAGGGCAAAACGGGAGGGTGAGAGTAGGAAGGGAAAATAACTCTTGGGATTCTACAGATCAGACAGCGGGCTGTGCAGAGCGAGAGCAGTGTAGGGTTAATCCGAATTCACACACAAGGAAAAGGAAATTAAACGCCTGGAATTGAATACCTTGCCCAGTGAGCCTGTAGTGAAGTAGGGTAGGGGAAGCGAGGCGAGTTATGTCATGTGGTGCCAGGAAAATAATAATGGAGAATTTGCGAGCAGCCAGGAGTAGGAGGACAGGGGTCAGTGAGGGCGAGGGAGCGAAAGCATGCTTCGGGAGTGAAGGCCGAAAACGATGTGTGCTAGCGAGTTTTGACGACTTCACCCAGCCTGGTTTCCTGGTTTCCTGATGCCAATCGCGACGCTCCTTGTAGAGTGACGTGGCCATTTACAAGCTCGACCACATGGTTGGACGCCTGTCCGTCTGCTGCCCAATCGCAAATAACGAAAGCTCACGAAAAAATCAGAGCGTGATGTCGTTACACGCTACACCGCACTCTGAATGGAAAAATCAGATATATTGTTTTCTCCCATCCACCTATTTCTCTTCTGTTTCGATTCAATCCCCAAAAATCTCCGCCATGTCTCGCTTCCCTGTCCGCACGTGCCTCCCCTTCGTCCTCTCTTCCGCCGCGCGCATCCTTGCGCCAATAGCGCGCTCGGCGGAGCGGCAGCTGGACGCGGTGCTGGCGGACGTGCTGCTGCCGGGGCCGCTCGGCATCGTCGTGCACCGCTTCTCGCGCGAGGAGCGCGCCGTCGCTTCCGCCGACCTCGCCAAGGCAGAGGCTGCGGCTGCATCTGCGGATGCGCGCGCGAGAGCGGAACGATGGCCGCGGCATGCGCGGTAACCTGTTTCCTTCCGATCAGCTTTCTCCTCCACCATTCGCGCTGCATCGATCCAGAAAAAGCCATGTTCGCACAAGATTGCTCAAGCGTCCGTTGTGGAACTCGGGGGCTCACGACGAGCCGGCGGCGCGGCCGCGTTCGGCCACAGAGGGAGTCTTTCCGAAGCGATTTTGAAGACGCTGCAGCGTTGGAGGGATTTGGGGGCTCTGGAGGATTCCGTCACCAGCTGTAGGGCCAAGCATATCCCGGGCGGCACACCTAGGGCTGGTGATGGCCGATGGTTATGGTCGATGGATAATAGGCGATGGGCGATGGATAGCGAGGGATGGTGCTGGAACCTGCCGTTTGCCATTCTAGGGGTACCCCTCATCGCATCCTGCAGCGTGTTTCTGCTTATCGTACTGGTGGTACATGTAAATTCCTCTCTGCCAAAACCCTTCCCATGGTAGCAGCATTTGAAGTACAGGTATTCAGGCAACTGGAGGCCCTCTCATGCCTTATTCCAAGGGTCGCGGGGCCTAATCAATTGAAAGGGTCGCACCAATGCCAATGTTAGCATTGTGAAAGTTACAATTAATTACTTGAACGTCCAGCTTCCACAGAATTACCGCTAGCTGGCTTATTGGATGGATGAAGCAATCAATGCCGTAAAGAGGCTTGCAGGCTGCCTTTCTTCTGCTACCAACAGCAGCACCTGCAGCAAGACACGCATAGCCAGTAGCAGCAGCTGTCACACATGCGCGTCTTTATTCCCACTGTCTTACCAGTCAATGTCTCTGGCATTCCGTCAATAAGCCCATTCAACAGGGAGTGCCACACCACCATTTGGCCTCCACACACGCTCTTCCCCACCACCACCTGCTGCTTCCACTGATCCATTCAACCCATCCCCCTCATCGTAGCCACGTCTCAATTTATTATCACCAGCATGCAGAGTCCCATCAGAAACAACAGCAACACCACCGTCGCCAGCAGCTGCTGGAGCAGCAGCAGCGGCGGCGGCGGCGGCGGCGGCAGCTGGGCTAGGGCGGCTCACAAGCACGTTATTGTGTGCATCAGCGTGCAGTCCGAACATGTGCACGAGCCGCGCAGGCAGGTACATGGCCGCGCCGCTCTGCCCCGCGCCGCATATCAGGTTCGCGGGTGCCATCGCGAAGCGCGCCGCCGCGAACTGATTCTGTGCAGCCGCGGCTCGAGGGTGAAACACGCCAGTCCCGTGAACTCCCCCGTGCGCGGCCCCATGCGCTGCTCCATATGTCGCTCCCGGACGCGCCGCCTCGTGCCTAATGCCATGCCCCGTCCCCTGCCCGTGAATAGAAGGAGAAGAAATAGGACTAGAGGCGGAAAGAGGTACCACTAGTCCAGGATTCGTCGAACAACACGTCTCGGGGAACAGCGGAAAGTGCGCGCACGGATGGGAGTTACCACAGTGTCCAGCCATTGGGAACGAGCCATTCGGTGGCGTGGGGAAATGCCAGTGCGCGTATTGCGGCACTTGTTGCTGCGGCGCCGGCGCCGTCGTTCTCGCAACTGCTGGCATCGTTGTGAAGGCAGCAGCAGGCAGAAGCAGGGGCGGCGGCGGCGGCGGAGCGGTGACATGCGGAGCTGCGACTGCTGGGAGCGGGGGCGACGGAACCACTCGCAACGGGCGCGGAAGTGGACACGTTACACTCGCCACAGGAGCCAGCGCCTGATGGCCGTGAATGGGCGCATGTCCCGCCGGAGGAAGTGAGCCGAACGAGAGATTGGAGGGTGGAATCAAGGAGGAACCTGGATTGCACCCAGCGGAACACGCGGAGTCGCCGACTGTTTGACACAAACGACAATGACATGTTGGGGGCGAGACGGAACGAGACGAGCTCCCGCTGCTGCTGCTCCTTTCAGGCGCATGCATACTTTCCCACTGAATCATCTGAAGCGGCGGTAACGGCGACGGCGAGCAGTCGACACGGCCCAGTGTGTCGAAATCTGACGGCTGAAGTTCGTCGCCGCGGTCATCTGCGATGCACGAGCTCGCGACCCATTCAGCAACGGAATAAGCAGATGTTGCGTTCGGATGGCCTCGAGGTTCTCGATCACTTTGCCATTTCGTCATGGTGGGCTTTGAAAACGCTGTCCCCCGCGATGGTACGAGCTGGCATGATGCAACGTGGGACGGAGGAGAATTGGGGCAACTCGACGGGAATGGGAAGTCCTGGGCATGGCTCCGTGCTTGAAGCACGAGTTCGCTCGATGGGGAGTTGTTCCAGAAGTCTGAAGGGGCATCCATAGCAGTTGAGTCCAAACGTCAATGCTGATGTGACTTTTTTCATTCACGAAAAGCGGCTTCATGAAAGCAGCTCTCGCTGTGTGATACTCTACCGCGATTGCAGAGTCAAGTCATAAAGCTGGGGAGTCAAATATGTTGTGCTGTGCTTCAAAAGTCGTTCGCCATAGCTTGTGGGGAGGAATCGGCAAGTCCCGATGATCGTTAGGGGTTTTTCTTCAGAAGTTAGAAATTATCTTCACAGAACCTAATGGTCACAAATATTTTTGTTTTGTTTCTATTTTCGCTATGTTATCCAGGATCATTCTTGCAGTATCTAAATTACTCGGTACATTTCCGTTTACGGGCACCTTTGAAAATAAGTTGGCTCAATTTCAAACACGCCACGCCAACACATGCACACAGTGGAAACAGCCCGAACCGCGGTTCGCCCGCATATGGAATTGAGTGCTCCCCGTCACAGCCAAAGGCTCATTCATAGGCTCCGCGCACCCCCCCGCAGCTGCCGTGAGCTGCCTCACTTCAGACAACATGTTCACACGGACTGCCATTCGCCATTTCCGAAGTGGGACGGGTTGGCTGCAAGCTGTGGGACCGCGGCTCGCCAGGCTGCACAGCGAGGCGCTTCGCTTTTCATTTCAAACGAGGACATCGACATTGTACAGCTGTCTGCATTTGCTTATAAGGTATAACTGTATCCAGGCAAGCTCGGGTTCATCAAATCTGCTTACAGGGGGACCTTGACTATCAAATACACCTAATATTCGTGGGTTCCGATGGGTTCCGAATTATTCGTTACTGGATGTTTGGTTGATAGTACAAGGCTCCCCTATGCTTCTCATTCACGTTGAAAGCATTCTTGTGGCTACATATTCTGTGTACAACTCCTTGGGCCTGCATGACATCGTGTTCCTTCGGAAGACAAGCAATTTACGATACGGTATGATGATCCTGGGAATACACCCGCATTGAACGACAGCACTGCATGTGTATGTATGTGCACTGACATTTATACATGCAACTGGGAAGCCAGTGCCAGTATGGAGAAGCAGGGATAGTGGAGGTGGTTAGATGAAGCGAACTCCAGATAGATCAAACTACCGACTCAAGCGCTTGTCAGAATGTCCGAAACACCACACACCGCCTTGCCTGCAAGGGTGGGTCCAGCCAAACATGGTGAGTGAAGAGAGCGGAGCAAGGAAAGGATGCGGGGTGCGGGCGGAAAGAAGTAGAAAGGGAAGGGTTGAGAAAGAGATGGTAGGATTGCGAGCAGCAGTGAATTGAGGATCTTGTGGCATGCATGGGATCAGACACGACGCCTCTCAGTCCCTCTCACATCTACCATCTTGGAACAGCAGGCAGCACTTTGCACTCATGTCTGGCAATGTTTTGGGTGGAGTGGAAAGCCTGTTTCGATCGTTCACTCAAATCGAGTGGAGTGCTTACTACACGGCAGCTGCTGAAGTCAGGGCTCACGTCTGGGAAGGAACTGCAGGTTGCCACCGGACGGCGAGAGGCGCACTAGGGTCTTTGAGGATTCTCAGTAACCAGCTAAAATGCTTGTTACATGGAAGCTGCTGTGGCGGGACTATTGCACTCACATCTGGGAACTGCAGGTTGCCGTCGGCAGGGGAGAGGCGCACCATGCCCTTGGGCCCACTGCCCAGCTTGAGCACCAGCTGTGAGAACGATAGAATGAAGCACGCCCCGCTGTAGGTCTGGTTTTCAGGGAGGGGTGGCGGTGGTGGTGGTGGTGGTGGTGGTGGTGGTGGTGGTGGTGGTGGCGGCGGCGGCGGCGGCGGCGGCGGCGGCGGCGGCGGCGGCGGTGGCGGTGGCGGTGGCGGTGGCGGTGGCGGTGGTGGTGGTGGTGGTGGTGGTGGTGGTGGTGAAGGTAAAAGAAAAGGCACATGGTGGGTATTAGGTGGTACAAGGAAAATTAGGGGGGAGAAAGTGAAGGGGGCATGAGGGATGGGGGGCATGATGGCATGGGGGGCATGATGGCATGGGGGGAATGATGCAGCAGCAGGAGAAGCGGATGGCAACACACAAACGTACGAGGGTGTTGGTCATGGGAGCAGCGGTGGCGATGCGGATGGTGGGACTGTCTGAGGCGCCTAGAAAGTTTCGAGGCGCCTAAAACGGGACGGCCGAGGTGAGGTGAGGTGAGGTGAGGTGCGGTGCGGTGCTGTGCGGTGAGGCACGTACGATGGTGTTGGTGATGGGAGCAGCGGTGGCGATGCGGATGGTGGGGCTGTCTGAGGAGCTGGAGGGCAGCACCACTGTGAAGGACGGACACTTGGGCAGCTTCCTCTGCACCACGGAAGCAGAGAGGAGATGGGGAGAAAGTGAAGGGGGAGGGGACAAGATTTTTGAGTAGACTGAATAGCACCACTGTCTGAGGAGCTGGAGGGCAGCACCACTGTGAAGGACGGACACTTGGGCAGCTTCCTCTGCTCCCAAGGAGGCGGAGAGTGGATGGGGAGAAAATGAGGAGGGTGGAGAGAAGACTTTTGAGTAGACGAGTAGGCTGAATAGTACCACTGTGAAGGACGGACACTTGGGCAGCTTCGTTTGCCGCAAGAAGGCGGAGAGGGGGAGAGTGTGAGGGGGGGGGGGGGCGGGGGCGGGGGCGGGGGCGGGGGGGGGGGGGGGGGGGGGGGGGGGGGGGGAGAGTTAAGGCTTTTGAGTAGACTGAACAGTGCCATTATGAAGGACGGACACTTGGGCAGATTCGTCTGCCGCAAGGAATTGGAACGGGGGAGAATGTGAAAAGGGGGAAAGAGAGGGGGGGAGAAGACTTTTGAGCAGACAGAATAGCGCCACTCTGTGAAGGACGGACACTTGGCTTGGGCAGCTTCGTCTGCTTCTCCTCTCCGCACACAGGGAGGGCGCGGAGGAGGGAGGTGGGGCGACATGGGACGTGTTTTGAGTCGACTCAAAACTCGACACTTGGGAAGCTTCGGTCGCTTCTCGGCACACAGGGAGGGCGCGGAGGAGGTGAGGCGGCATGTGGTGGAAAGAGAGGGCGGGAGAGGAAGAGAGTGGGAGAGAGCGGGGGGGCGGGATAGCAGGAGAGGGGGAGGGGGAGAGTTGGAGAGTGGAGTGGACTGTTGAGTCGACTAAAAGCTCCTCTGTGAAGGGCAGACACTGGGGTACCACACTTCAGAGGTTGGGAGCTAAGGGAAGGTGGGGGCAGGAACAGAAGGTGGAGCAGGAACGGAGGGTGGGGGCAGGAGAGCAAGAGAGCGGGAGAGGGAGCAATAGGGAGAGGGAGAGAGTTAGAGGGGCGGGAAGGGGGAGGAGGGGAGTTCGAGAGAGAGGACTGCGTGAGAGGGAGTTGGCTTGGCATGGCGGTGGGTGGATGTAAGGGGGGGGGCCCGGGGGATACAAGATGGGGTGGGGTCTATGCTGCTGAGCTGTGCATTCCATGCTGCAGTGGCCCATGCTGCAGTGGCCCATGCTGCAGTGGCCCATGCTGCAGTGGCCCAGGCCACAGTACTGGTAGGGCAATGAACACACAACAAAATACCAGACAAGGGACTTGAAAGAAAACCAGACGTTGTAGTATCGTATCCCTCCGTGCAATGATACCCTGAGTTGTGATGCCACTCACATTCCATGCGTCCACAACGTTGCATCGGTCCTTCAGTTTCCCGTATACCACGTCGGCTGCCTTTTTGCTGCATGTGAGGCAGGGGCACAGGCACAGAATCACACGGCCCACACAAGGCCAGAAACCCGCAAGCACTCAGTTGTGACGTGACTCACATTCCATGCGTCCACCACATTGCATCGGTCCTTCAGCTTGCCATATACCACGTGCGCTGCCTTCTTGCTGTATGTGAGGCAGACAGTCAGGCAGGCAGGCAGGCAGGCAGGCAGGCAAACAAACAAACAGACAGACAGACAGGCAGACAGACATAGAGATAGGTAGGCGCACATGCAGAAAACAATCACGCCCCACACAAGGCCAGAAGCCCAGAAGTAAGCAACACAATGACACGAGCACGATGCATCTGATGAAGTGGGACGCATTGAAAGCAAGCACTCAAGCACGCACGAGGAACATGCAGCAGCAGCAGCAGCAGCAGCAGCAGCAGCAGCAGCAGCAGCAGCAGCAGCAGCAGCAAGGCAGGAGGATGGGGATGATTAGGCGCAAGCGCTCGCCAAAAGCGCGGCGTCCCCCGACCCAACCGCTCAATGCAACAGGGCGAACCAACAGCGCTGAACCCAACAGCACAGTGAAACAAGCAGTGGGGTGGATAAGGCTCGAGTTATTGGATAGGTAGCAGAGAGAGAGAGAGAGAGAGGTGGGGAAAAGGAGCGCAAGGGGGAAAGGGAGGGTACAGTGGGTGGGGGTGCGGGGGCGGGGTTGTGTGGGGTGGGAAGGGCGGAGGGCGGAGAGCGGAGGGCGGAGGGCGGAGAGCGGAGAGCGGAGAGCGGAGGGCGGAGAGCGGAGGGCGGAGAACGGAGGGCGGAGAACGGAGGGCGGAGAACGGAGGGCGGAGAGCGGAGAGCGGAGAGCGGAGGGCGGAGAGCGGAGAGCGGAGAGCGGAGAGCGTAGGGCGGAGGGCGGAGGGCGGAGGGCGGAGGGCGGAGGGCGGAGGGCGGAGGGCGGAGAGCGGAGAGCGGAGAGCGGAGGGCGGAGAGCGGAGAGCGGAGAGCGGAGGGCGGAGGGCGGAGGGCGGAGGGCGGATGGCGGAGGGCGGAGGGCGGAGGGCGGAGGGCGGAGGGCGGAGGGCGGAGGGCGGAGGGCGGAGGGCGGAGGGCGGAGGGTGGAGGGCGGAGGGCGGAGGGCGGAGGTTACAAGTGCAGGACGCCGAAGGGCGCGTTGGGGTGAACACCAGGTAGGTACTACCATAGGGTTGGTCGATACGTGGCAGCAAGGCAACTTAGATAGGGAGGGGTTCCCACGTGTGATTGCTAGTGGTACTCACGAGTGAAGCACGCCATCGGAGAAGGGCGCGTTGGGCTGCATGGCCTCGAGCGAGTAGAGCGGCACGAAGTTCAGCGACCCGTTGAACGCAAAGTCGCACGCCTGCACGCACGGGGACGAGCGGGCGCAAATGGGGAGGAGCGGGGGTAAATGGAGAGGGCGAGAGAGGGGGCACGTTTCGAGTCGACTCAAGACTCGAGCGAGTAGAGCGGCACGAAATTCAGTGACCCGTTGAACGCAAAGTCGCACGCCTGCACGCACGGGGACGAGCGGGCGCAAATGGGGAGGAGCGGGGGTAAATGGAGAGGGCGAGAGAGGGGGCACGTTTCGAGTCGACTCAAGACTCGAGCGAGTAGAGCGGCACGAAATTCAGTGACCCGTTGAACGCAAAGTCACACGCCTGCATGCACGCATGGGGAGGGGTGGGCAGAAACGGGGAGGGGGGGAGCGGGGAGGGCGGAATTCTGAGTAGAGCGGCACCAAGCTCAGCGAGCCGTTGAACGCAAAGTCACATGCCTGGGGGGGGAGCGCGCGCACATGGCGAGGAGTGGGACAGGGCAGCGAGCGCAGGGGGGGAGCAGGAGAGAAGGGCGCGTTGGGCTGCATGGCCTCGAGCGAGTAGAGCGGCACCAAGCTCAGCGACCCGTTGAACGCAAAGTCACACGCCAGCACGCACGGGGACGAGCGGGCGCAAATGGGGAGAAGGGGGGGGCGGGAAGGGCGGAGTCGCACAGTGCAGAGGGCGCAAAGGGGAAGAGGGGAGGACAGGGAGCGGGGACGGCCGGGGAGGAGCGGGGACGGGAGGGGAGGTGAGTGGAGCGAGTAGAGGGGCACCAAGCCCAGCGAGCCGTTGAACGCAAAGTCGCACGCCTGCACGGGGAGGGGCAGGGCGGGCGGAGCGGGCGCAAATGGGGACAGAGGGGAGGGGAGGGAGGAGGGCGGAAATCTGAGTCGACTTAATCGCATGCCTACACGACGGGAGCAGCGGGATGGGAGGGGCGGGACAGTGCAGTGGGTGCACGGGGGAATAGGGTGAGACGGGGAGCGGGGACGGGCGGGGAGGGGAGTGGAGGGGAAGAGAGGGAATGGAGGGAGGGGAGAGGAGAAGCGGAGGAGGTAGGACGGTGAAGCAGTGAAAGAAAGTGTGAGGCGCCTCAAAGCTTGACCAGGACGTTGCAGGGTGGTTTTGAGAATTCTCATAAACAGGTCGTAGTGGAGACGTCGCAGGGAAAGAGTGAGAAAGACCAGGACGGACGCACCCATGTACGCACTCTCCCCTTCTCTACCTTCTTCCCCTCCCAACTCACACTCAAGTCTACGAAGAGAGGCGTGCGTGTGTGTGTGAGAGAGAGAAGGGGGGGAGGGAGGAGGGGGAGGGGGTGGGGAGCTCTAGCAAGGAGGAGGGCGGGATGGGGGAATGGGGTGAGGAAGAGAGGGAGGGGGGAGGTGGCGGGAGGAGGGGGGGGAAAGGCGCGGAGAGAAAGCAACGGGGAATACGGGGGCGGCGGTACCTTGAGCGCGAGGAAGACTTTCAAGGCGCCTCAAAAAGCGGGCAACGAGGAATGCGGGAGCGGCGGTACCTTGAGCGCGAGGAAGCAACTTTTGAGACGTCTCAAAAGTCGGGCAATGCGGGAGCGGCGGCGGCGGCGGCGGTACCTTGAGCGCGAGGAAGCAGGAGGTGGGGAGGAGCAGCGAGGAGCTCTGTAGCTCGCCGGACCGAGTAGGGCCCGCCGCGATCGCGCCCACTCCCGATACGCGCGATGATAAGCACCACAGGCACACGCACGACAGGAATGAGAGGCACGAGAGGGATGAGAGGCGCGGCAGCAGCGACGCGGCGGTCGTCAGAGGAAGCATCGCGCTGCGGTTTCGGCTGCCGCGGCGCAATTGCCTTCCTGGCTCCGCGTGCGCTGCGGAAGTTTGACAAGATCGGATTTGCGGAGGCTGTAACGAGCGCGACTCGCCACAATCACAGGCACCCCGCGACGTCGTGGCTTCCCGCGGAGTACTACTCGCGTCGCATTCGACGCGCGCCGCGCGAGACCGTTGTCGCCCTGCATCAGCGGCGGCGTGGCGATCATGACAAGCGGGGATGATCGAAGTCGGAATTGGAAGGGAAGGACACGCGGCGACACCCATGTCTCTTTCGCCGTGCCACCACGTGGGATGCTCCCATTGGACGTCGAGGTTCATGGTTAGAAAGCGTCGGGTTGACGGATGAGAAAGGAGGTCTCGCTGGGCTATCGGGAAATTTTCGTTTACGTCCATCGGTGCCCGGAAAGGCCTAACGCTTAGCTTTTTGACCACCAATTTGTTGAGATGCCCCAAAATTAGTATGCTATGTTATGCTATCTACAAGTCGAGAGTAGGTGGGTGCTGGTTAGAAACTAATGACGCTGACTCTGCTGGGAAGGTAAGTAAGCACGCAGGCTTTGCTGAGTTGGCTGGTCAGTGGCCATCAATCAAGCAGGTGAAGCGACGCGACGTGACATTGTCAGCTGATGGTTTCAGTTCAGATGAGCGGGTGACAGCAGCCAAGCGAGAGTCGGTGGGAGGGAAGATGTGATTGGAGAGGAGGATGGGATGTGGCGGGATGAGATGGGATAAGAAGGGATGAGATGCGATACAGTGGGATGAGACGAAATGGGACGGGATGGGACGGGATGAGATGGGATGAGATGGGAGTGTGGGAAGCGAGCGAGAAAAATGAATGGGAGGGAAAGCAAGGGCGGAGGGGAGGAGGGGATCGCAGATGTGAAGCGAATCCAAACAGAATTCACGAGTGGGTGGTGGTGGTGGGTAGGGAGATTGCGGTTTTGGTTTGGCGTCACTACATCTGTCCACTTGCTGGCTGGCGCGTCGTGCTCGCTCGCCTCGCCCTGCTGGTTGTTGTCTAGTGGGCGGTAGTTGGATGGATGGGAAAGTTTTGCGGCTAAAATCCCCAAAACCTCGTGAATTTATAAATATATGTCAGTCATGGCTTCCGCCTCCTTTTTGCGAAGCACCAGAAAGAATGCACGACCTGGCGGTAAGGGCGAATCAGGAGGGTAACTTCCGACGTTTACAAAGATCGAGGCATGGGTGGTGAAAAAAACAAAATGATTCTGCACCACACGAGCTGATGAGCGGGTACCTTCGTTACAAGCAGATCCTTGTTAGACACGCATTTCCAGAAAGCCTTACGCGCATGAACACATCGAAACCGCTATCATTGTATCCTGTCTCAAATCTTGAACTCTGGTCAATATCTGTTTGAGAGCGTATTGGACTACTAAGAACTCTGTTCTCACTAGCAAAGGATTGCTTTACTGTACGTGACATTAGATAACATTTTCTTGTCACCCTACTATCGCTCCGAGACTAACGTCGACAGTCGAGCACATAATTTGGAGCAAGAACTGCATCGATCCCATGCACCACTATCCGGCGGGAAATCAGCGCGTTTGGCCGTACCACATGCGCCCTCGCTGCTAACTCCTTGGCCTTCTCAGCATCCGTGACACCCCCCGCCAGCCCTTGCCCCGCGGCCACCCCTGCACCAGCAGCTGATGGCACAGCTGCAGTAGCAGCAGCCAAAGGGTTTCCTAGACTCTGCGCTTTTACACCTTGATCTGATACCCCAGCACCAGCTGGGGAAGAAAGTGGGGCGTCCTTAACAGCCAGTAGCACGCGCCGCTTGCCTTGCTCTAGAGGGGCATCAGGCAAGCGAACCAGATCCACTCCCTCTGTGCGGAACTGTGGTTACCAGGGAAGGAGGAGGGGAGGAGGGGCATAGCATAGCAGGACTCAGTCACGTTGAAAAAGGTAGGACTGAAAGCATCAACGGAGTATTGGTGACAGCAACAAACAACACTTCAACATGCCGCGTCTGCACTGGGTTTCCCCGTTCCTAGTGCCCATTAGACGATGAGTCCCTGTGTACGGGCAACGCAAACGCTCCACCAGGGGGGTGTTCCTTCCCCACTGCACATCAAACATGTTCATCCAGCGCCCGTCTCATGCTCCTGCTCGCGTTCCTGTGGTGCAGGCTGGGTGCGTATGGTGCCATGGCCGGCCACGTGGCAGGCAGTAGCGCATGTGGCTAAAAGTGGGCGAGCCGAGGCTCAGTCTGCGCCACCAAGCAAGGAGAGACATGAGGGTAGGTGGGGAAAGAGCATGGTGCTACTGGGGGGGAGCGGGGAGGAGTTTTGGGACAGTGGGGATAGGGAGGAGGGGAGTGAAGGGGGGTGGAGAAAGGCCAAAGTTTAGCAGAGAACCAATGATGCTGGTCTAGCTCTTTCGACAATCCATACGCTCTCCACTCTCCCCCCCCCAATCCCCCACATCCCCCACATCCCCCACATCCCCCACATCCCCCACATCCCCCACATCAGTTATCCGTTCCCCGGCCCCTGCGTTCTCCATGCCGAGCCAGGAGTACCTCGAACCCGGGCGCCTTGAGCGCGATGCGCGAGAAGGGGAAGCGCCCGCCGACGAAGTGCGTGGCGGCGATGGTGAGGCGCGAGTCGGCGTCGGCGCACAGCCGCGGGTGCTGCGCGGTGAGGCGCGCGAAGGCGGAGTCCGTGGGCGCGAGCAGCGTGAAGCGCGTGCCGTTGGCCAAGGACTCGCGCAGGAGCGACGGCACCTCTGCGCGCCACAGGGGGAGAAAGCGGATTGCGGGAGGAGGGTGGGGAGGGGGGGGGGGGGGGGGGGGGGGGGGGGGATGTAGACGAAGGAGGTGCAAGAATCAATTAGGAGGGAACGGAGGAGATGGGGGATGAGAAAGAGGAGATCAGTCAGGGCGGTTGGGGAATGGAGGGTGATGAGGAGTCGATAACCGGGTCAACGTCAGGCGAGTCGGGCGAGTCAAACGAGTCGGGCGAGTCAAACGAGTCGGGCGAGTCAAACGAGTAGGGCGAGTCAAGCGGGGGGGGGGGGGGGGGGGGGGGGGGGGGGGGCGGCGGAGGGGAGGGAGGGGAGGGGTGGGGGAGAAGGAATATTTCTTGTTCCTGAATCAAAAAACGAGGAAGCTCGTCACGTTGAGTCGGAGCGCTGCGAATGAACGGGATACTCCCACGCGACTCCAAGTGATGCATATGTTTCACACCTTTTCCACCCCTTCCCCACGTCCATCCCGCCCCCTCCCACCTCAACGTTAATCCGCTCCGTCCCCGTCTCTTCACCTGCATTATCTATTCCCGTTGCATTCTCCACACAGGCCTCCCCTCCGCGCACCTGTGCGCTTGAGCGCCGCGGCGAACTGCGTGAACTGCCCCTCGGGATTCTCCAGGAACGCCAGGAGCTTCGTCGCCTCTCCCGCCGGCGAGTGTTCGGGCGGAGGCGCGGCGAGGCAGGCGGGCGGAAGAGCGGTGTGCGTGATGACGACCAACAGTGCCGAGAGACGCAATAGCACGTTGAACGCGCTGCGTGGTTGGCGGCGCGGAGGCATGGCGTCGCGGTTGGGGGACGTGGCGGATCGGTTGTAGCTCTTGGTGGGTAAACACGCTGAGATTCAGCGCGGGCTACGGCGAGCGGCCTGGTGCGACACGCGTTTGAGGCGATTACCAATCAACAACTCTCAGTGACAGCACATCAGTCAGGGAGCTATTCCGCTTCCGAATCACAGACCAAAACAGCGTGAGCCAAAAGGCAGCAGCAGCGTGCACAGAAGTTAGAAGGTCGTTGGAGAAATTACCATTTCTTGTCGCCACTAAAGCGGACGATGCTGCTACTGCTGCTGCTGCTACTTGGTAGGGAAGGGACGGACGGCCAAGGCGGGGCAGGGCTGGGCTGGGGCCATGTCATGTCACATGGGTGGGTGGGATGGGACGGGGCCAATTTGGTTGCTTGTTTGCTTGCTGTGGTGTGGTGCGCCAAGCGTCGCTCGGGAAAGGGGGCGGAGCGGAGAAGGGGCGGAGGAGGGGCCGGCGGCGGAAGGCTCAGGCAAGAAGGGGGGAAAAGCAGGCATGGCGCGGTGCTGCTGGCGCAGGAGGGAGTGTGTCGCGCAGGGGCTAGCGGGAAAGTGCGGTGGTGGGATGGGGTGGGGGGACCAGAAGGGGAAATGCAGCGACGGGGGAATGGGGGCGAGTGGAGCGTCGAAGCGCGCACGACGGAACAGTAAGCGCGCCTTCGGTCACGACTGCGGATGTTTTCATTGTTCTAGTGTATCTTCCATAAAACACTATGTCAGTTTTATCAATGTTATTGAATCTCAATTCAGCTCCTAGCTCATGTGTTTCCCAAATTGCGGACCGTGCGGGTCAAGTTTTAAAAACTTGATGAAG